TTCTCTTTTAATACCCCCTTAATCCTTTCCCTCCTAAGTTAATTTCAATTTCAAATTTTTGAAACTGAAATTAATGTCTCTACATTTTTGGAAATCTGAATAAACAATTCAGATTTTTGTTTTCCCTCACAGCCCCACCCGCTCCCTCCCTCCTCACCCGGATACAATTTCAGAAATCTGAAATTGTTTTCTTCTGAAGCTTTTCTCTCCTACCCGTGCCTTCCAAAAGGCCCTGTCCACTAAATTCCTTCTCTTTGGGAGTTTTCTATTTGCTGTCTAAGAAATTACAGCAACTCTGTATTGTCTTCCTGCATCTCCAAGAGGTTTCTGCTTTCCAAAAGAGCTCTCCAACGTGGCCAAGCTGCTGCTATCCAAGGAGTAAATCTGCTGTCCAGGATTTCCAAGTACACAGGCTGCCGTCCAGCAATCATGGAAACCACCTATTGCTGTTCTGCTGGCAACGCTTACACCTTCCATCGACTCCTCCAGCTCCGACTAGCTCTTCCGTGGGCCGTATTGTAAGCTCTCTCTTCTGCGTGGTGATCATATAAGTATTGCTAATATCTTTCTTCTGTTAACCGCAAGAGAGCTTGAGTGAGGGAAACTCAAGGTGACTTTTCTAAATATTAACCCGCGGATTATTGTTAAAGTGCATTCGTCATTACTCGCATGTTTGTTATTGTTTTAAATTGTTGTGCCTAAGGAGTTTGTAACATTGCCTAAGTAATTTTGCAACTGAGATTTCATTAAATCATTAATTGTGACTCGTTAATCCTTATATTGACTTGCTTACTCAGTTGTCTTATTACTTCTTCTTGCAATTCCGATGTTGTTTCACATCAGAGAGCTAGTGAGTTCGAATGATAAAGTTTTTATAAGATCCAACGATGAAACAAAAAGATTGAGACTACGATAAATATTAGATTTGGATAGTGATATCAATGTTGGAGGCTTTCACTTTAGAGAGATGAGTAGAGGAAGCCATGAATGAACACTAAAAAGTGACATAATTAAACATGGATCGATAGGTCCAAATGGAATCACATAAAAGCAAGCTTTTTTAATCAGTCCAAATTGAGGATCCTTTATTGTAATCATAAATTACGTTGGATCTTATAAATTTGGAGTGGTATACTTGATTTGCAAAATAGAAGGTAGCCAAAAGGAGGGGAAGGTCACTTTAGTCCTTTGGCTGGAATTTTTGTGAAGGAAATTCAAAGTGTTTACATGTATATTTACCTTTTTTTGTTTTGTTCTTCATGTGTAATTTACACCTATTGGTTTAATTAAAAAGGTAGTTTTGATTGCTTGCAAAATTTTATGCACTAAATGTGATTGTGTGCCATCAGCTTTTGAATTGATTGAGAATCAAGCATAGTTAACATTTGCAAATACTAACATATCCCCTTCTCTCTCTTTTCATGAGCTCTTCTACATCCCCTCCACCTCTCCTAGGCTTTAAGCACTTCAACCCCACACAAAACTGAGCTATTCTCCTTCATCACAACTCATGTTGTTTGCAATACCATTCCATATATAAAATTAATAACATTCTACACCAAAACCAATTGTCTCAAAATTACATCCATAAGTTCACTAACATCTCAAAATCCATATATAGAAGTCCTTACCTTTTCCAGTCAAACAAAATCCATAAGCTTCATGAAGAAATCCGATCAGCACGCCTAAATTAGTCATCACCTCCCTAGCCTTCCATCAACTACAAAAAATCCACACATTTTAACCAGCCCTAAAATCTTTCCCAACACCTCCTAATCATTTGGTATTAGAGACAAGTGATAGCCTTTCCCTAAAATAGAGAATAAATTGATTATCTAAGTAAACACCACAAGTGCATACATTGGAATTTTTTCACAAAGTTTTCTTCCAACAAAATACTTAATGTTTCAAGGTGATATTTTCAATTTCAGCAACCAAAATGTTCATCATCATCAAAAACATCAAAAACTTTTTCGTTATAACTTTATAGGCAAGTAAACAAGTCCAACAATTGGCTTTAGTAGGTGATAGATCTAATTTTCACTCGTAGGTAAAATTTTCAAACTATATGTTTTGAATTCTTTAGTTTTATATCTTATTACTTGCATAGATTTCAAGGATCTTGTTGCAACTTTCAGAGGTAACTCATCTCATTTAAGTAAAAAACACCACCTCAAAGCTTATTATAGCCCATTATAAACCTACCACATTTACTTGAGAGTTAAATATGGTGAGTGTGTCCACAAATGAAAATATATATATCCTTAACCCTTGAATGTGATTTAAAGTTAGAATAATTGGAAGTATATTTATGCATTATCTTATTTTTAATCTTTAACTCCTACATGCTCATTAATATTTATGAAATTAATGGATGGTACATGCACGAACATTTTAAAGAATATTAGAAAACCAAACAAATTTGGAATTTGGTTTAGATATACATTGACTTGTGTTACTGCAAGTCTAAAATAACTTATTGTCCTTCCTCACTTGAAAGTTTCTTTTAAGACTAACATAATTCAATACATGCACGTAGAAATGCACCCATTAGAGGTAGAAATGCACCCATTAGAGGTATATTAGTAACAAACTATCTAATGTGTCAAATGAAATCCCTGGATTTCTCAAATCCAATCCAAAATAATTTCTTTACTCATTAAATTTGATCCAAAATAATTTAACAAAAGGACTATTTTAGATCATATATGAGGAATTAATGGACTAAATTGAGCGCATTTACAATCTATAACTAAAATGAACCCATATAAATAGTACAGGAAAATGCACTCGTTTGTCGATTCAGTTGGTTTAATCAAACTAATTTAAATCGAGCCCCATCTCAAGTTAGAGTAAATCAATTTGGATTCGAGCAATTATCAAGTTTCAGGCATAATTACTAGTCTTGCTTGGAAATCCCTATATTTATCATCTCAATCAAGATTTCTGTTGCAATCTGAGAGCTCGAGCTTGTGATTTTGATGATAACAAATATTATATGATTTCTACTTTGTTTCTCCTATATTATTATTGAATATTTGTCTTGTGCACACTAATATTTCAAGTACATAGTACAGCATGCATCAACAAAGGATCAAGACTCAAGAGTGGGTTGAATAGGGTTGATGTTTTGCAAGAGGTTGTACTTTTTCCTATTTATGTTTTCATCTTTCTTTAGTCAAATGTTTTGTTAATGGTGAATGCTAGCTTAGCAACCGTGCACACGTATACGAGGGAGTGAGAATTTAATTTTCATATTTTCTGAAGTTCGTACCATATGTAAATAAAAAAAATAAATTATAATTTAGAGATTAAAACTGTTGAACTAATTGTACTCTACGAACTTGATCATACAGGATGATCAGTTTAAATCAAACCCTCATACCCCAATTAGATTTAGGCAAGTATTTGAATTTTTGATTTCTGAACTAATCGTATTATACGAATTGATTCATACTATACGATGTTTGAAATCTTTCCTAAACTAATTCCTGTGATTAGTCAATCAAATCAAGATTAATTCATGGAAGCCGATCATACGGCACGATCGACAAAGACGATATTTGATCGTCCCAGGGATCATCATGGACGAACCTTAATAGGATTAAATTATTTGTACCATACAATACTAATCATATTGGATGATCGATAGAGACGATGACCCGGAGATCGTCCTAGATAAACATTTAGTTTTAAACTAACTGTACTATACGATCCATAATTCATAATGTATGATCTGTTCAGGAATCTTGAACTAATCGTACTATTGCTCATCGTGTAGAATGAACAGGGATATTTGAACTAATCGTGCTGTACGATCCAAGATCGTGCTGTACGATCCAAGATCGTGCTGTACGATTAATGTCTGCTGACTTGAAAAAATTATGATTTTTTTAGCCTTTTGTATTTAAGCACCTCTTAATTCATTTAAGGAAGTCTTTTGTCAAATTTCATGTGTGAGTTTTTCTGTTGAAAGGGTTTGAAGAGAGAGCTTTGATCTTGAAAGAGAGGTGAGGTTTTGAGAGAGAAGATCCTTGTGTGATCAAGGGAGTATGTGAGAGGGGTTCTACACACAGTTGCTCCGTGAACATTCACCGACTTCCCCCAAGAGTCACTGTTTTGCTTGAGGGAAACTCCAGGATAAGGGTTGTGGCATCAAAGGATCCGGCTACGCCGTCGCACCACGTTGGTAGAAGGGATTCAAGATTCTCTGTCTCATTAGGAGGGTGAAAAGGATTCTAAGTTCTCTGACTCACCAAAAGGATGAAGAGGATTCAGGTTCTCAGCCGCATCGTGGAAGGGTGGAAGTGATTTTATAAGGGATTCTCTACCTTGTTGTGGAGCTAAATGAGAGTTAATAAAATGTTTAGTGCAATACTTGGAGAGTACTCTGGGGAGTGGACGTAAGTTAAGGTTGATCAAACAACTATAAAATTTCTGGTGTGCTCATTTTTTTTCTTTAGCACTTTTACTTTTCATATTTTTAATTCCTGCATATTATTTTCTTGCAGATCTGGGATAAAAATATTGTCTGCTTTTGACTGATTTTTGTGAGCAAGTAAAAATTAAAGCAAATATTTAAAAATAAAAAGGAACAAAAATATTTCTCTGTTTGTTCTTTATCTAAAATAAAAAATATAATTTTTTTTTGATTTTTTGATATTTGCTTCTGCTTTTATATTTAGTGAATAACATCTTTAAAAAAAAGTTTTGAAAAGTAAAAATTTTAAATAACAATTAACCCCCTGCTTCTCTTGTGTGCCTATGGCAGTTCAACAAGGTTTAACAATCTCTTTTGAACTTTTTTTTTATATGTTAATTTTGCATTTTTAAAAATGGTTGATGCAGCTTGATTTTCATATTGCTGTTTTGATCCTGTTCTAAGTTTTTCTTTATCAATATGTATGAGTTAATTTCCTTTTCTGCTCGATAAGAATGTCTCAAAGCTATTGAGGGTTTCAACATTCTTCTTTTCATGTCTACTAACACGTGTTTCTCAGGCACTTGATTGGATTCTTTCTCTTCCTTGTCCTCACCATATATACAGCAGTGAAGGTTCCGAAGGTAGTAGATATACATTCACTGCAACAATTACCTGAGATGCTGAAAAGAGCTGATCTGCACAAGCTTCAGTCAGATCTAGTTGCTTGCCTGCCAGCCCTACCTCAGTTGTCTCATTTGCATAGACTAAAAGAGGAGTTGAGGTCGTCATTGCCTACAATGGATTCCCTTTCTTCGCTAACCCGCTGGCATCTTGTAGAACTTATTTCAAACTGCTTCCCACAGCGATTATCTCATCCCAACCAAACCCAGGTATGCATCTCTTGGTAAATTCTCCCTCTTTTTTTGAGTTAGCATTCTGAACTATAACCAATATTAAATTCTACTACGAATTCACTAGTGCTTAGGTGATAGTTATTTCATTTAAACGTCAGTGTGATGGTATTGACCTGTAACGTTGAAAAAAAAAAATCCCATACCTGCCCTAGCATCGCACGACTTCGCACGTCGCTCGCACGTCGACGTCCCTTCTCCCACGACCTCGCACGACCACTCACTCTGCCTCGCTAGTCGTTAAATACCCGAAGGAATGAGGCCCTGGGGTTGGCGGGCTTTTACTTCTCCCTTTCGCGTTACTTCTTCTGCTCCTTTGCTGCTGTTCGACTAGGCTCCTTCCGTGACTCTCCCTTCCTCACGGATCGGAATTTACGACATTTTGGCGGAAGCGACGATGGGAGCTCGCTGATCATGAGGGTGACTTTCTCCCTTCCGCACGCTCCTTCGGCTCCCCTTTGTTGTTTGATTTCGCTCGACGACACCCCCTTTCTGTTGGATCGGAGGAAACAACGGGAGCTCGCTGCTCTTCGGCTCCCTTGCGCCGTTCGACTACGCTCCTTGGACGACCTCTTCTTCCGGTCAGATTGCAAGTCATGGCATTTTGATCGGAACCCACAGTGGGAGCTCGCTAATTGGGAAGGTAACGATCCTTCTCTTCTTCTTGCACTTCCTCGGCTTAATCCAGTAAACTCGTTGAACCAGAGAGGAGAGGAAGGGTTTGCTTTTAATCTTATTCTTAATCAACTAATTAATATTAATTGTAATTAATTAAATAGTTATTTTTAGTTATAATTAATAATTAATTATTTTAATTATAATTAATTATAATTAAATATTATTAATTATATTTAAATTTTAATTATTATTAATTATCATTAATTTTAATTAATTATTTAGTTATTATTAATTATAATTTATCATAATTAAATAACATTAATTATAATTAAATATAATTGATGGATTAATTATAATTAAATAATTAATTATGTGTTAATTACAATGAAAAATGTGCAAAGATACCTCCCCTTGCCTCGATCTACACGCCAAGCATGCGAAGGTACGAACTCCCTAAACTCAGATTCTCGTCCTTTATTGCACGTGGTGGGATGGGACCCCGGTGCGGTGCTTACGACGAGGCGTGTAATTACCTAAAAAGCCCCATTTCAAAGTTAGTGGCGCACCGGAAAACCGGCTATACATGCCTTTATTGCATGTGGTGGGATGGGACCCCGGTGCGGCGCCTACGACGAGGCGGGGTCACTCATAAGTACCTCCGAGCGGGGGAAAGCAAACTGCATTTTTCAAACAGGTATCGAAGACCCCATACACGCCTTTATTGCGCGTGGTGGGAAAGAAGATCACGGCTGCGATGTCCTTATCCGAGGGCACCTACCATACACAACTTTATTGCGTGTAGTGGGAAGGTCCAGTTTCTTGTAGTTTTCTCCTAAACGGGAGAGATGTCGGAAGGCTGCCGAAATTTCGGGTAAATATATGATTGCACTCGGACCTGCTTTGAAATTAAATGAACAAGTTGAGGACCAAAGTTTGAACTCAAAAGACAGCATGGGACTTATACTTGGACTTGTGGACCAAATGCAAATGACCAATAATAAAGGCTTGAACTTAATCAAAATGAAACTGAAATGAGGACCTAACTCAAATCAATACGAATATGAAATTAAACTTGCAAGAACTTCAGAAGACATTGAAACAAGCACTTGAACTCGAACTGTACAACTTCAAGTGGAACTTGTGGACTTAAATGTGACGTAGCACATACGCACTGGACTCGCAAGTGAACTTGTATATTAAACTCAAACTGGATTCAAACTTGACATGAACAATAAAGAACCTGAACTTTCAAGAACAAGGGACTCGGTCTTGCATTTGATTAGGATATCAAATAAGATGAACAAGACTTTGAACATTACTTGAACACTTGAACTTGGACTGAACTCAAATGTCGAACTAGACTACAGTTTGAGCATCAAATAAATAGCCTAAAGCATAATTTAAATATCTAAGATAAAGATTGTGATTTGGCAAGGAGATGATGTTAATCTTGTTGGCAAAGGTCAGTGACAAATGCAACAATATCTCTATACCCGCCGTCATCATACAAATTGCAAGTGGGAGATAAAACCTTAATGCATGCAAGAGATGATCGAGGAAATCCAAGTGATTTGGAATATGCAACCAAAGCAACAAGACTTCTTACAAACATTCAAACATACAAGTCCCTATGAGGTCAAATGTGCCATACTTACAAGGACGACAGATTGTTGTAGAAAGCATATGTGTGTCATACATGCGCTATTGATATCTCTAACACAATCAATGTCGCCTGTTGATTGAAGAAGGCGACACTGGAGATCGATAATGGAGGACCCACCGCCGCAAATAAATTGTGAATGGCAAAGATAGGCAATTCCGACAATTGCTTATAGAATGAGATGGCAATACTGACATTTAATAGCGGAAGACCCGTCCCTACAAACAAGTACAATCATCAAATCACCTGAAATTGGTGAAAGATGGATATGATGTAGGAACAATGGCTCTTCTACGAATATCTCCAGGAGGTTGTAGTGGATACAACGGTCCCCCGCAAATGTACACGAGCCGCTTGTGGGTAATAATAGTGGATATATCATAGGTACAACGAAGCAATGTGGGCATAATTATATATATCACCTACGATAACGGTGATTAAGATCTTCAAGTACGTCGGGTATGAGGGCAACTCGGTGTATAAAGAAGGACACCCCCCGGCAGAAGGAAAGAGATGTTTGAATAAATTAGAACTAAACTTCCTGGTGTTCCAAAATCTCTTCTTAATCCTATGCTTAAGAAGAAAATAGTTCTGATGTCCACAAACACCAGAAATAATAAGTCTACTACACTAAAGTGCTTGAAAGGAGATATTTTCAAGGCGGCGGTCATTGATCTGAAAGTCCCGAAGAACCTCCCGGTGAATGAGAAAAGGGAGTCTGTATCAAAACAATAAAATATCTCGCGAGATTCTGGTGCCAACGCTATGATTCACCTATATCCAAAAGCAGGAGATTCGTTAGTGCACTATGACCCACCTGCAGAAAGTAACAAATAGTGCACGATAGTCTACCTATACAAAGTAGCGAATAACTCTATTCAGAAGCTGCTACGTCACGCCACCAAATCCACAACACTCATACAAGTGGACAGGTGTGTTCAAATTCTCAAATGAAATATTGTGTGCATTCAAATGGCAGTCACTTGCACAATTACAAATATCTAAAAATACCCCCGCACGTGCACCGTAGTTTGTATACACATAGGTACACAAGGGGTAAGTATAATTATAAAACCCGCATGGGCCCCGGCGAGCGTGTTAAGGGTACACACGTGATGTCTAGGGATGCTGCGCGGGTTAATAAATTTAAACCCGATTCTCCTAAGCATGTGAAAAGGAGTTGACAGGGTTTAATTATAAAATGTTCCCAAACACCCACATGGGTTCTGGAAAGCATGTTAAGTGTACACACATGATATCTTGGGATACTGCGCAGGTTAATAAGTGAATTCAAGTTCGAACCCGATCCTCCTATGTGGATCAATAAGAGTTAACAGAGTTCGAATCATTAAACAAATATACGATTGTGGTGACTGATCTATTTTAATACATTAATATTAGGCCTTCAAGGTCTATAATCAAGAGAATTCACTAATAAAGGAACAAAGCCTATGTAACCCGATCCTCTGTCGATACTCGACGGAGTCGACAATGTTCAACTATAAAATATAAATATTTTCAAATGAAAATGACCTCAAATACTCCAATGATGGCTGTGTTGAACGAAAATCTCAACCGGAGGAGTCCATTTCAAATACTTCAAATGCCCATCAAAATCCAAAAGTCCACAAGGTCTGAAATCCAAAAATCATCAAAATTCCAATTTCAAAATATTTAAAATTCGAAAATTAGTCATCCAATCATTTAAAACAAAATCCATCCACCCTCCACAATAGTTTGCCAAGGTAGACAAGTTCAAATATAACTTCAGCTCATATAGAGCTAATGCCTAGTTGAAAATACCACTAGGATCTATTCTCAAACAATCTCTTGCCAGTAAAGACGTGGTACATGTCCTCTAACCGGCTATTTTTCCGCCAAATGGCACCGCGGGATAAATGGCTATGACCTGGGGCCCTCTGAATCGAGTGGTTTTGCCGCCAAATAGTACCACGAAAAATCGGTTATGGCTAGAGCCAATATGCTCCTTAGTGGCATCAAATCTTTGAGATGTGAATCAATAGGATATGATCGATAGGGCACAAAACTTTTTGTTAGCTAAGGTGGATTCAAATTTATCCCCTTAGGCAAATATTCACCCCAGGTCTACAAGGTCCCCTTGGACGAAGCAACTCATGGCTGCCGACAAAGATCCTTCTGTCACGTTGGGTCGACTAACTCCTCTGACTAAGTAGACTAGGGACCACGATGGCCCGGGACGACGGAATTATGTGATCTTGATCGAGTCTATCTTCCATTCCCCCACCATCCGCTTTAACTACAAGATGGTGAAAATTTCTAAGTTTAAATATCACATCTTCCAAACCTTAAAACTTCTCAAATCCAAACCCATGTTGCTACTATATGCCAGATAACACGTATACTCTACTTATCTGATGATTTCTCTTTTCATCTCTGGCTAGTCAATCATAGGCTATAGTAGCAAGCAAACCCATATGGGCTAAAATTTTAAATTTCCAAAAAATCAATCTTTTAAATAAGATTCATTGGAAATTCAATATGCAGGATTTTAATTCTATTATAACTTTCCTGCTTTTGTTATTTGTTTTGCATAATTTCTGCATTTTGAAAGTGTGGGGTGACGTATCAAATTTTGATTACTAACCTATATCTTTCATTTTTTGCAGAATGGAATTGCGGGACACCCCGATGATCTTCCAACTGGGACGAGGAGCCAGGA